AGACATATTCTATTTTATGTCAAATGGTTACCGGAATTAAAGTTTTCTGATAGAACAATACTTTACACATCTAATTTGGAAATGTAATATCTCTTATGTTGGTTTGACCTCATTTTCTCAACTTGGTCGGAACATCAGGAAGACTTTATGGAACGTACCTAGTCCTGTATACTCTGTCATAGTATTTGTGATTTCCAACATCGGACCATTGATTGGTACATTCCCAAAGGTTTTGCCGGCATCGTCAGTGAGAAGTGCCATCGTTAGCACAACTTATCAAAATGTTAAATAATATTTCTTGTTTTGCAATTGTTTACATTTATTGAAGACATGCGTTAATTTGCTTTAAGGCATTATAATATTCGTATTTAAATTAATATTCCTTTATTATCTAATAGATACAATCATAATAATGAGGACTGGGAAGTCTATCGTGAGCTACTTGATATCGCAACTCATCTAATGCCTACTATGTTCAAGGCTGCAGCTGAGGAGTCCAGGTCCTGTTGCCAGGGTGAGGTTGCTGAAGATCCGGATGGCACACTTTACCAGCCAGGAAATATCTTGGGTTAGAAGAATTAAATTTAGCATTTTATAACCTTCTACGATCTACTTGAACTATCGAAACCAATTTTTACTTTTATGTGGCGACTACTTTGATTACTTGTTAAAGTGTTACACCACGAATCGAACCTCATTGTAAAATTTTATCATTTTTTAATCATTTAATTGAATAATTTTGACAATACGAGCATCCGAAAAGTGGTTTAAATCAAAATTTCCTTGCGAGTTTGAATATTATTTAGTTTGTTTTTTGTAGACTCTGCCAATTATTTTAGAAATAAAGTCAATTTAAGTACATTTATTATCTTCGCTAGGAGAGGCTTCAGCCAGGATTTTGGCCTAGCCAATTAGTTTTGTAATGTTGGGACCTTACATTACATTCATACTGATTGTTACATTGATGATGAAGAGTCGAAATAATTACCAGCTTGCTTGCGGAACTCACCCAACCAACATGTTTTCTCCTAATTAGAATATTTGAAGCCCTTGAGCCGGATGCCTCATGATCATGTTAAAAATAACTGCTTGCAATCCATATAATATATCATTTAGGTACATCATTATTATTATTTTCTCTCATACTTTGCTCTGCTT